CTCTTAATAAATCATAAATTTCTCGTTCAAATTCTTGTCCTCGTTGGTAGGAAGTGATAATAGCACTCATATTTAATTATTAAAATAAAGAAAATCTTATTATTTATTATTTATTATCTTTTATCTCATTTTTCTCGCGTAAAAATCATAAATAATTTTTTAAATCACATGATTTAAATGATTGGTTATTATTTCTTGAAAGTTCATAGGTGCAGATCCCTTAATTGATACACGTTGTTACATTGCAAATCATGAGACATTTCCTGTGACCGTTATCAATATCGCTATATTAACGTTAAAAATAGCACTTTTTTCATTATCGTTACTTCGTTAGCATTTTTTTTATTGTCATTATTTTCACTATATCAATGATAGCACTTTTTTTCATTGTCGTTATTTTCACTATATCAATAATAGCACTTTTTTCGTTAACATTTTTTTTTCATTGTCGTTACTTCGTTGTATTGCATTTTTATAGTATCTTTAATCAATATGTTTTTCTTATAAAGAAACGCTCGCTTGCACTTTTCAATCCACTAACTAAAAAGTTTGAAAATTAATAAGAAACTTAAATAAAAATCTAACAATGATTACCTCTACAAAACTTAAGATTGTTTTGATCCTAGCAATCTCCCTCTTTATTTTATCTGATGCAATTCCAATGCCAATCCCACAAGCTAATGGTGGTGACGCTAACGCTATCGGCGGCAACGGTGGCCGCAACGGCAATGGCGGCAATGGTTGGGGCGGCTGGGGCGGCAATGGTGGTACTATTAGTACTAATTCTAATAATGATAATTCTAATAATAGTAAGAATTGCTACGGTAGAAAAGCTAGATGCTAAATGTGGTTAGAAGATATTTATAATAAATTATTTATAATAAATTGATGTATATCATAATAACTATTAATTGATATTACTGTTTGGCTGTTCGGCTGTTAATTGATATTACTGTTAAATTGCTATATCCACTCACGCTAGATCTAACACCCAATGCTTACGAACCATTGTATGCTTACTATCATTGAAAGTGAATAATCTAAATGATAATTACATTGAATTAACAGTATTGAATTCTAGTCAGAAATCGGTATGAATGTTCATATGAGAGCTGATTAGTCTTTATTCGTTTGATCTGTCTAGAAGAGATGTCATCTTCTGGTGAGTTAATCGGAATGATTAATGAATTAATTTTGTCAGTAAGCCGAATTACAATTTTTTCTGATTCTTGTCTTGTTATAACTTCCGTTGCATAACAAGGATTTAATCCAAAACCCATGTGAATGCAACCACAACGTATGTGATTATTTTTAATACGATAACGATAATGATTTGAACAATATTGATACGTATTGTCGATCAATAATTATACGTAATAAATATGCAGATCATTTTTCAGGATTTTAATATGAAAAAAGACTTATTTTTTGTATTACACTCTTTGACCTAAGTAAATCCAGATGTTTAATTAGCACCAAACCTCTATTTTACATAGGTGCAGGCTTCGTTTTTATATATGTGTTTGTTTTAAAAGAACCGTAACCCAAAGCTAACGAAGTGATATATAATCACATGAGGGATTGACATTATATGATTGGTGATTTATCATATCGATATCAGATATCCACCACATGTGCGAGAATATTCCAGTTATGGGAATCCTTGTTTTATGTAAGTTGAAAAATGACTATTTGTAGGAAACGAAAAAGGATATTGATTACTGGAGAATAGATTTAATGACATTGGCATAGTAACGACGCTGGTCACTAACCAAACAGAAAAAAATTCATTTGTTGACTTTGAAGAAATCCTAAAATTTGAGCAAACTTCTTTTCGAAATCAGAAACAAGGCCAAACTCCCACTCAACCATTATTTCCCTCACCATAGAATATAGACGATTAATGCTTTAAGTCAAGGTATTTTTGGTATTAGGAAAGTGCCAATTAATGAAGTTAATATTCTTTCAATTTATTCAATATTACGAAAATGGATGAAATAAAATACATAAAAGTGAATAAGAATAAAAAATTCAAATTGCTAATATTCATTGGCCTAAGACAAAATATCACAGTCATTTTTAAACAGAGGATCGCTCCTCAAGCCACTGATCCGCTGCTGTTCTGTGCGTTATTGTAACCCACTGATTCGCCGTTCTGTACGTTATTGTTACCTGCCGTTCCGCCACCGTTATATCTGACGCCGACACCATTTGAATTTTCACACCACTCGGAAGTGCAAAAACCTCGGGCATCACGAATGCACCGAAAAATAAGTGGTGGTGGACATTTTTCTCTAGCATCGGTGACGGTAAAGATCAAGATCGCGAGAAGAACATCACGAAATTTTAAACCAGGTTGGCAATCAATTATCAATTGAGAATCGATTACCATCAATTAGAAAAAATCGATGGTAATCAATTTTTTTTTATCAATCGATTGCCAACCAAAATCGATCACCATCGATTTTTGG